ATACGGTACGGTTGTTATAATAATTACAGAGAGGAGGATCTCGGACGAAAGAAGCGAAGAATCAACATTGTTACGAGAAAGGAAGGATATGGACTGGATTTTTACGAAATACATGTAATTTTTCACAGAAGCATACTGAATTCCGTATGTAGATCGCATTATGCAAATTACGCAACGAAATTCTATGTCCAAGATGAAATTTTCGAGAAAATTCAATTTAAAGTACCCAATTTCCAGCGTTATGTACAAAAAATTTATTTTGTCGCGCAAACGTCCTGTTGACGTTAGCATCAAGGGCTCAAAGCAAACATTGGAATTTCGCAATGAAGTATCGAGCATTTGCAACGCGCGGCGTTACAACAATTTACGTTGCCAACGAAAAATACGCAATGTCAGACGTTATTTGCGATATCGACGGGTATACGAATGTAATATCAGCAAAAAAAAAAAAACGCTCAGTGATAAACGTATCCTCCTCAATATGCCGTAACTTGTGCACATTACGCTATCGCCATGAATGTAATAGCAACAGGCATTGCAAATCGCGTACGCGCGCGGGAAAATACTTATATATATTAAACATAGAAATATTTTTCAAGAGGCTCAAAGGATGCGGCTACTTCATTTCATTAAAATTTTCGGGTTAACGTCTCGCACGATTAAACAGTGTTCTCGATCGGTGTTCAATGATTAATGTGAGCTAAACGCGCTGCTTCAATTCCCAAAGTGTTATTGTTTTCCGATTGAACATCGCAGACTTTTAATTCTTAACATTTCACATTTCCAACGCGTTTATTAATATGTCATTCGTTTTAATAAAATGTCTCTCTTATAGTTTAATTTTTCTTTTTCCTGCACTTCTCTCGCGAAATTAAGCTTGCAAACACAGAAACATTTTGCTCTAGGAATTAATTTTCTTGATTATTTTTTCTTATATATACATAAAATCAAATTTGTGTCTATATAATCTAATAAATCTACGAATGTATTAGATATAGAAGACGCACTTCTTGCGTAAAACACGACTTTTTGGGCAGCTGGAAAGTGCGTGTGAAATAAAGAAAATCTAGGACGAGAAATAAAGAAAAATATTTTCATAAATTATCTTTATGAAATGAAATAATATCTCCACATTTCGACATTTCGTTGTGTCGTAATTCAATTCGCAATGATACCAAGTGGATAATTTTTTTTTTTTTTAGGCGAGCGTACCGTCACTGAAGAAATTTTCTTTTCATCCGACTCTCCTTCCTGGACCGTACATATGGTGCACTGTTTCTCTAAATCACTTAATTAAAACAGCTACAATTAAATAATTCACGCGCGGCTGTCTCGAAACAACGAATTTTTTCGCGCCTCCATATTCGATCAGTCGCGAGCGAAACTTGCATAATAATAATAAAAAAAGAAGAGAACACATATGTTTTCCTTTTGCCGTCGATGAGAACCAAACGCGAGAGCGACGATTGTCCCGCTGGATTGCTGCTACTTTCACTTTTCTCTCACTTTGCCCTAAAAGTATTTCATCGGCGGAGCTATTATACTGGCTATCTAAAATCCCTTAATCTAAAATCACACTCAGAACATAATTATATGCGCCCTTCCAATTTTCCTGTACATTTCCTGCCATTCCCTAGGACACGAGACACGCGATAAGACGAGAGGAGAAAATATCTAGGGATAGAGAACGTATAATAATTCTGCTGATTTCGCGAAACCTCTAAATCTCCTGTAGCCACCCTCAAAGAATAATAACTGTACTCGCCACTGACGAAACAGCATCGGAAAATAATTGTAACTCTACATATGCAGTTACAATATTTTTCGCCGTCGCACTATTCTGCTATCGAAATATTCGTTTCTGCTTTTCAGATTGTTCTGCACCTTCTCAATGTTAATTCCATTATTCTTGATAATTTTTATACACATCTCATGAACATTAGCTTAGAAATCTATTGCAAACCAAGTCTATTGCCAATGATTATTTCTTTAAATAGATTTTTATTTCTTTAAATGTATAGAATTTTTATTAACAAGTGTCTAAAGACAATCGAAGGATCGTCGATTATTGAAATTCGAATTCGTTCGGATTCGCGTGTCCAGTTGCTTGTCGTACGACAGTGGTGCTTGCAATGTAAAATAACACCGATACTTTATCCACACAGAAACGACTTCGATCAATCGCTCTTTTCCGATCCTCTCTTTCAATCCTCTAAAGTAGATCCTCCTCACCGGAGATTTAGATCAGACGTAAAATCAGTAGATTCGAATTTCCATTTTTGCGCGTTTGCTTCTTTCTCAAATTCTACGAATTAAAGCACGATGATCGGCGTGCAATGTTAATAGCACTTCTTCGCATTTTTAGCCTAGAAGATTGAATCTAAAAAAATTACGCCGGCTCCGATCCACAGTTTTCATTCTTTTCTCGTGATTTTTTTCTCCTATATTTCGCTAGCTATCTATTTAATTCTCTTCCTCATATCTCTCTCTCTCTCTCTCCTCTCTCATTTTCCTTTATTGACCATCGCGTTCACACGACAAGTCGGCAGTGCGTTTATTGGAATAGATCGCGATTCTACGATCGCACGAGGGAAACTCGCGTTCGCGAGGTAAACGAGGGAAAAAAAAATCATCGTCGCCGAGTTGGACGAGAATCGTTTTATCTCGACGCGGAAATTCACGAGATTTTCGAGATCGGCCGGCGACGAGGAAGGTCGTTGCAACATCGATACATGCGATTCGCGCATACCTTCGTCCTCCCCTCTTGCCGCGCGACGGGACTGCGAAACGTCCTGTGCGGGACGTCCTCCCCCCCCCTTTTTTGTATTTCCTAGTTCTGAGATCGAAGGAGTCCCGTCGTTCGAGATCTCGATCTTGAGAGACGAGAACGAGCGAATGTGGGATCGGGACGGTCACGAAGGAAACAGAACTCCGAGGATCCTTTTTTTTTTGTAATCCTATCGAGGCAGCGAGTTGTCGATAAACGCACAAGAATCGTTAAAAACACGTCATTCCCGCGAGTAATTTTCGTCGAGAACAACTCGAACATTATCGACGATTCTTTTAACGTTTTATTTTTTTCCTTTCAATCCTTCGATCCTTCGAATTCGTCTAATTTTTTTTTTCGCCGAATTCGCAATCAGTTGAATCGTCAACTCGTCCCTTCGAAATCACTTTGAAAGCAATTCGCACTTTTACGAAATTCATCTGCTGTATCTGGTCCGCCAATTTTCCTCCCAAATGTAAAGTTTTCGGGAGGCAACGAGAGGAGCCCTCAGAAGCCCTCTTTATTCTATTCCGTTAGCACGACCGTTTTCTTTATGAATTTACAATCTCAATGCGTTTGCGACTCGCCGCCGTCATTTCCCCCCTCCCACACTCTTCGTCGTCCCTTTCGCATTTTCGTTCATCGCGCGCACGTCCGCCCGAATTTTCATCCACCCTTTCCCTTTTCATCTCGTATTCCGTTTCAGGAAGGACACCTCAATCTAGGATTTATTAGTCTTTATTTCCAGCGAACGCGCTGGTCGTTCATCGGAATCAAACGCTTCGCTTACCAATGCTAAACGCTAGAGAGGAAAAGTGCCGATCGTATACAATCCCATAATCTCAACAGTTCGCTAACAGTTGTCGCTACTTCATCGAGAGGGATCGACGACCTCTTCGACTCCGTTGATCTTCTCTCTTCTCTTTCCCCTTGATTTCTCTTCATAGCCGATTTGTCGCCGATTTCTGTCGAGACTTATCGGGAGCCGCGTCTCTCGACGAGGAGCATCAACGCTCGCGACGATCGATTCATTCGCACGAGGTTTTAGCTCTCGCTTCGGCAAACCGAGAATCTCATAAGGAAATTGCGTTTTTTTTTCTTTTTCCGAAAAAGTTTTCGCGTTTCCGCGTCAATCGGAGAGAGAAACAAGTCGTGCGAATATCCTCGAACGCGAGTATCCGCGAACAAAAATCCGCGAACAATATCAAGGATGATACGATTCGAAACAGACTTCGCGCTCCGCTGTTCGTCGGACATCCTCGAACATCCTCGAACGATATATCTCGCCAAGGATTAATTTTCTCGAGTGTTGGCCATCCTCCGAGAGAGATATCCCATCGAGGACGACTGAATCTGCAACTATCCTTCCCGCGAGGTATCCTTGAATCAAGGATTTGCTCAATTCGGAACAATAATTTTATCATTTACTGAGACGACGTCCTCGAGAGATATCCTTTCAAGGACAAATCTATTCGCAGCGACACTCTCGAGAGATGGAGCGATTCGGAGTCTACCTTTTCACTATTCGCGGCATCCCCTGTCAAAGACTATTCTCGATTCGGAGCAATAATCTCGTCGGCGCGACGACGTCCTCGAGGGACATCCACTCGAGGACGATTCGATTCGGCATGACATTCTCAGGGATATCGCTCGCCGTCGGAGGATCCTCCGATCAGGACGAGAAGGATTTTTCTACCCACCCCTCTCGGCACTTCTCCCCCCCCCCCTCGCGCGCGTATTCTTCGATCGTAAACGGCCAAGCTGACCTCGCGCGACCTGTACACGTGTGTAAAATCTAAAGAAAAGAAAAAAAAGGACTGGCCCGTCTTTTCGACGCTCGCGTTTACTAATAGTTATTAATTATCACCCTCCCACACCCCTCCCCATACCTCTTCGCTCTCCCGCTCTCACGGTCTATCCACGATTCCAATCCTCGGGAATCTCCCACCGCTCTCTATTGGAATTAATTGGCTACTTTGTGTTTTAAATTGGCTAATGCGTGTGCATGGACGTGTGCGCACGTGTGTATGTGTATGTGTGTGTGTGTGTGTATATGTGTTTCGATCATGTGTATGTATACAATGTATATATACGTATAACATATTGCTATATATACATGCAGGACGCAATGAAATGCGTAGAAAAACGGTCGGTATGATTTTCTCTTACACGAGTTCCAAGTCAGTCTTTTCTTGGAAAATGCTTAACAAATGCACGCGGCACTGTTCTCTTCTTTCTTTCATCATTTTTAATCCTCAATATTGATCCTGAGTATTCTCAGAATTCTCTTCGGATCCCGTGAGTGTCACTTAAAAGTAAACACGAGATAATCACAATGTTCCACGAATTCAAAGAAAATTTAGTAATCCAACGGGGGGGAAAAATTCCTGCTTAGGTATAAATTAAATTTAAATTCGAATATACCGTGAAACAGGATCTTATTGTCTATTCACGCTTTAATGCCGTCGTTAAATAATCTATTTAATCTTTTGATTAAATTATTATTGAGAGTTACGAGGAGAAAGCTCGTTAGAGACAGATCCGGGAAAAAAAGAGTATCTAGAAATGCATTTCCAAAGAAAAATGGAAGAAGACTTCCGTTTCCTTTCGAGAGGTACATGTCCCTGAGAAAAAATTGAAAGAACTTTCAACTCTCTTTTATAAGGAACAAGCAGAAATCTACAAGACTAGTTTCTCCAAAGTTTCTTGAAATGAATGTTTTCTACGCGAAAATCGGAAATATTTATTCGCGCGTATTTATTCAATATTTACAACAATTTAGCATTTCCGAAGAATACTTTCAATTTCTTAAAAAATAAAAAAAGCATTTTAAAAAATCGAGCGATTCTTAACGTCATTGAGGAATGCATTTCGGGGATAAATCGAAGAAACACTAAATTCTTCGAAGTCAAACGTTCCTACCATTTTTCTACGCATCCCTCGCGATATCCCGTGCATGTATATGTATCAGCTAGTCGAAAATTGAGGCTACAGTGTGCGGCAGTCTATTGTCTCTCTTGGCTCTTCTCTCCGCAGCTTCCAGTCCAGTTCCCCGGTTTTTCCTTCTTCCTCCTTTTTCTTTCTTCTTGTTATCGGTGACTTACTATCTTCCGGTCGGCGAGGATCCCTCCTCTTCTCTTCTTGGAGCGCGACACGGAGTCGTCACCCTCGACGGTCTATCTCGGGGACGGGAACGGGGAAGACTTTTTATTCCCACTGGTGTGGAGAGGGTGGCAATTCCGAAGGGTGAGCCACCGTGGAGCTGCAAGTCGTACGAACAAGACATTAGAGGGGCGACGAAGGGCAGGGGGAGGGGGGGGGTTGAAGGGAAGGGCTGAGGAAGCTATGCTGGCTGGGGAACGTGCGACCCTTCTGCGGTGAAGCGAGTCGACCACCCTGCGTAACGGCCAACGGTATTTCAGCCGAAACGATCTCGATAAAATTGCGTTTATTACAAATTTAATAATTTCTTTTTCACGTGAAACTTTGAAATTTATTATTAGGCGAAAACGTAATTCTATAATTACCGTGCAGCAGTTAGGGCAATCGATCGCGGGGCGAGCGAAGGGAGAACGAGTATAAACTACGTGCGAATCGTCGAGCTGACACTTTACGACCGGAAACATCAGAATTTCCGGACATTTAGCCTGAGCGAAGCTTAATGTCAGAATTTTGAGCAAATTTTTGAAAAAGCCTTTTACACCGTTCGACAAGGCATAGTACTTGAGGTAATAAATTCAAATTGGATTGAATACATTGAGCCTAATTAATTATACAGACGTTAATCAAAGATATTATACACGAAATTAATCCGTGTGTACTCGCTCGGCCATCCGCGTTCTCTATGGTGATCGAAAACGCGAAGTACGAAATGTCGCAATAATCATTTGCAACTATCACACATTTCGCACTTCGGTGCGTTATGGATAAGAGCTATAATTACGACTAGATCGTACAAGAACTGAAATCGTCAGCGAGCAGTAATAGTGCGGGGGTTGTGCTTTACTCTTTTTCTCTTTATTCAAATCCGTTTTCTTCGTCTATTCTTTACTATAATTAAAAAGAACACAGAGGAATTATAGATACAACTAAAAGCGTATGTACAACACACAAAAAAATCTCATCTAAATTTGTGTATCATGCCTATGAGAACATAACAATCGCTACACACCGAATCAAGGTTTCTCTCTCGCTTTGACCGTTTTGATGACAGATCACTTTCTAGCTCGGCATTAACTTAATGCCGAGTAGCATTATACCGCGACGTCGGCAATTATTAATTATCGAATTGAATTACGCTATATCCGCTCGCGACGATCATTCCGAAGAATATTGATGAATCTTGACTCTCATTAAGCAAAATAACAAAATCGTTCGTCTGATTTCCATGCAGCTGTCAGCACGCGTGACAGCCGATCGTCTCTCTTCTAAATCTTTTTCTCTCTCTCTCTCTCTCTCTCCTTTCTTAGTCACATTTTTTATTTTCAAAATAAATCTACTTTCGTCTCTTTATCTCTGTCTTTTATATCAAGATTAATATTGGCCTAATATCGGGTAAAAGATATTATCTGTGGAACGGAAAATGTTTTGCATCATCGGATATTGGATCATCGGATTTACGAATTATAATTCCAGGTGAATTCAGGGAAAGATTGGGCAGATATATATGCAGATCTTCGAAAGAGAGTTTCTTTTTTTTCTTTTTACTTCTTTTTTAACGCGTCGCGACGTCATCGCGCTTGTCTTTCTTGTCGATATATCTCTCAACTGAAGGCTGCATGGTGGATCAGGCCTTCTTTTACACTCATAATGTCAACGGCAAAACAATGTCAGCTATTTCCTCTGTTTTCTTTTATGCACAAGTAGCGGAATGGCGAGACAATGACGGCAGGTGTGTCATGCGCTTGCGAAACCGGGGTGACCGCTTGCAAATTACTGTATTCAGATTATTAACGCCCAAATAGATTGCGCAATAGATTATAGCAAATTGAAATTTTTTCGATTTCCGAATCGGAGTTGAAAGGAGAAAATCTAAAAATTTACTCTGGTCAGATTTATTTCTTTAAGACTCTGCAATCCTATCTTAAAATTGCCGTGTTACCTGCGTTGAAGCCTCTTTTCCCCAATGTTTAAAAATTCATATCTTCCAGAAAAATATAAACTTCTTTTTGGGCTCATCTTAAAGATAAATTATGTGGTTATTTTCTTAAAAATCGTGATTTTATTTAAAAATGGCCGTTTCAATATGACCGATTAAAACGTCATTTTATTGAAAATTGTTAAAATTTGTTTAATTAAAATGTAAATTGGTATAAATGTTATTGGAAGATGTATAAAGATAAATTCTAAATATGTTATTCTTTTTTTAATCAATCTCAACAGAATTCCAATATTTCAAAAGACATTTCTTTTATCATTGTATTATTGATACAAAGAACAATATTAATGTTTTACAAGGTATTAATATTCTGCAAGAATGAGCAGGTTCAAAAAACGAGATTAAGTCACAAATTGGCGGATGTTCCTCGAAGATTGTAATTGTTTCCTTTTTAATCAGATTCCTTCGGGCTCGCTTTTAAGTAGCCGCGAAAGTGGGCCAGTAGCGATGCGATTTCTCGCTTCAGCAACGCTCTCGCCCAGTCGAAACAGAGAAAAAGAGCGAGAGAGAAGGAGTGACACAGTGGGGAGAGACGGAAACGCTCTCATCGGACAAAGGAACGGTATCCTGCCGAGTAATGCCGGGGTATATTATTGTCGCGCGGATGTTTAAGGAGCCCGTTAATTGCGCGTACGCGAAACTGCCGCTAATTAGCGTCGGTAAACGCGCCTCGTCTGTCGTCACTTAAGCCACGTTTCGCTGAAATCCAGGTGAAAACTGACGTCGGATTATCCTAATTTCCGCACGTCTCTACACGGAATTTATTTCGGAAACTCATTTCGAGTAATTATACATTTGCGCGTTTTTCAATTAACTCCAGTTTGTCATTAACTACGAGTGAACACACAAGGTATTGTTGCCCTACAGCACAAAATGAGCGTGCAGCGTTGCACACTTTGAATAATACGATTATTTACGAAGTACATTGAAATATCACACTCGCGGAATATTTTGCAGCAAACGCTCGGATTATATTCGACGAGTATAATCCATTTCAACAATTTCGATAATATGAATCCTTAATTTAATCTATAATAATTGAATATACGTCTCATATTTTACAAGAACTGCATTCGATCCGGCTTTAATTATTTTCAATAGAGTCAATTTAGAAGCTATTATTTCCCTACGTGGATTAACGCTGGACTGATATTATTATATTTGATATTTTTCCTACGAATCCCCTATCTCGGAATAATTTTATCGGATTCGCGGATCAGAGATCTTCGAGGAGTTTTATTTCACTCTCCAAACGCGAACGTTCACTCCAACTAGTCGCGGTGCGGTCGTGATGATATCAAATTCATTTCGCAATTATATTTAATTATAAACAAGTATGTCACCCCGTTCGAGCGCAATCAACCCGCCTTGACACGAAATACGCGACGCGACCGATCCGATTCGGGGTTGCGCGGCGCGCCTTATACAGGGCGCTACGAAATCGCCAATTGCTCCCCTTCCAATTTTCAAACACGTACAAATAAACGTGATTTCGTGATGCAATTTCTCTCGGGTAATCGTCGACAGATTTATTTGTACGCAGGCGCATTTCTATCTCTCAAAAATCGAAAGAGCGATCTCGGCGATTCCGAGGCGACACCATATACATATATATCGGTCGCGCGGGAGCGTTCGTCGAGAATGTCAGAGGCACGGCGTACGTAACATCATGAGGTAAACAAAGGACGGTTAGAGAACCCAAGGTGAGACAGTTGTAACGCAAGCAAAAGGCAATATACTTGGTAACTATAAAAAATAGGCTGGATCATGTACCTCTGCGAGCGAGGTCGCGCCGACTATAGCTGACTCTCGTTTCGTTCGGTTCGTTCAGGAGGAGGCGTAACACGATTGGTAGTAGTAGTGGTAGTGGTAGTAGTGGTAGACGATAGCGGTAGTAGTCGATAGTAGCTGACAGTGGTAGATAGCTGAGTCGGTAGTGGTAGTAGTAACGTGTACGTATACGCGGCGCAGGGCGCTGGTTCGGCGATCGGCTTGCTCTAACTAAGTAAGCAAGACGTACAATTGTTACACATCCAGCATCAGTTGAAAGTAACACTACCCAACAACACACATCTTGTAGAAGTTACGATAACAGCTATACGTATTGGATATCAAATCGACAGGCCGAGACGTACTTTCTGTAGATGTATATGTATATATATATACTTTATTCCATACGTATATATTATAAACAATGAGAGTGAAATCTAGGATTGATTTCGCGGAGGATTTTGCCATAAGAGTCACGCCTAGATTTTCGAACGAATTCGCATCGAATTTATATAGAATTGCAGACGACTGTAAATATATTCGTCATTTGGAAAAAATGTTTATTTCTTAATACATCTTAAGGCAGTAAATTTTTTGGCGTAGTATTATTTCATAGTACTCACTTAATTTTGGTCGAACATGTTGTAAACGTTAGAAAACAGCCTGCGATACAAAAAAAATCTAGACGTACTGATATCTTCAATTTTGAAATCGGGGAGCCATGAAAGTTTAAGACTTTTTACGCATTTTTGTTACACTTCTACAAAAGGAAAGTTAAATTTTGTTGAGTAGTGTGATCTGGGGAAAAACATTACATAGATCTGTTACTATTAGAGATGTTTTTTTTTCGTCTCAATATCGCAGAGAGAAAAATTAGAACGATATTATAGAATATTTGAGAATTGTTCTAAGTTGCGCAAAATTCGAAAATAATTAATATTTAAATGTTTAAAATAAAATTATATAATAATAAATAAAAGTTTTATTTTTTCGATTTCCCAATTTCGCTGAAACTTTTAGTGGATTCTATTTTGAATCAATTTTGTTATATATGTCTCTTTTATATCTGCTGCCATGTAATTTTCGTTGTTTTCATCATCAAATTATCTATATGTCGCACCGAGAATTCATAATGTCGGTAAACATCATAAAATATTGCCCCGTCATTTTGCGATGAAACAAATTGATTGCTCCAATTGATTATTCCGTTAATGCGGTGCTTTCATTACTCTTAATAATGTAAATTTTCCCATCCAGAAACGCTATAATTATAATTTTAAACACGTAAATGCGAAGCTATCTTCTTATTTATTATGAACATCGATCAACACTGTGCTTTCTGAAAATTGACAGAGAATAGATAATAGACTTCAGAGTAGAATTTTAATAATTTCGCTAACATTTTATATAAAAATTTCAAAAGACATCTAAAGAGATGTATTTTATATGTTATTACAAATTGAATCGGCAAACGGTAATGTTCAAATAATTTGGAAAAATGAACGAACGTCAAAGAGAGTACGCGTAAAAAGAAATATGTAAAATATGGAAAAGATCTTACACATGTTCATATCTTAACACATCTACAACTTTAAAATATCATTCTAATTCTCCGTTCGGCGATATTGATAACTAGTTCCTTATCTACTTGATTTCTGCTCCTTCTGCTACATCGAGAGATCGCATACAGCGATTGTATCACAGTGGGCCGACAGGGTTACGTGAAAAACGCACATCTTATTTCTTCCTCGGAATACAACATCAAAAGCTACACATCGTCCTCTGTGGACGGTTAGCAAGAGGATCGCCAGGACGGAAGGCCCCTCTTTCCTTTTTCCTTCGAACTCGTCGCAAGTCTCGTCTAATCGATTTCGAAATTTACTTTCTCTCTCGTTACGCGTCGAAAGACTCAGCCGGCTCTATAGTCAGCGCTACTCTTCGAACACCCGATACATAATATCCCGCTCGCGCTACTCGATTGCTTGATAAGAAACACTGTGCGCCCCTCTATGAACTCTCTACGAGGATTATTAGCCTGTCTGTCTTTTTTTTATCTAGGATTTAGGATACAGGATCGCGATACGGGGATGGGGGAGGAGCGGGGGGGATGCACGAATGCGAGGGAGGGGTGATATTAATTCTTTTTTTAAACATTAATCTCGAGGGACAGTAAAAGGGAGGATTGTTGCGAAGAGTTTTCTTTTCTTCATTCTTTTTTTTTTTTAAGTTCTCTTGGGTATTTTTTCATCGATCAGTTCTGTGTGACTTTGCTGTATGTGAAATGGGGAACTTTTGTAGGTCGGCTCGTGTCATATCGCATGTTCCAAAACCACAGAAGCGTCACGGCTATATATTCATACATCGACGATGTAAATTGCGTTCTCTTTCATCGCTACTACACGTTATACACATCGTCTTTTAAATCAATACGAAAATCTCACGTCGACGTCCTGCTGAATTGAATTTTATTCGAAAGTTACACTATAGAAGAATAATAAGGCTTCTTCGATGAAGCCTCTTAAACAGCTGATATTCTAACGAGCTGCGCACTTTTCAATCTTGTTTTCCGACCTTCTCCGGTAATTTTGGAACAAAACGCGTGCACCGTGATCCGGCCAAGGGCGACTTCGCGCGTGAATTCACCCTACGATTGCGGCTTACCTCGCGAAGCTCTTGAACGCCGCGGACTGCGGATTAATGCAGAGCGGCACTCGCGACGTGTTCAGCTGCTCCGCTATAAATTTGTGCATCTCCTCTGAAACAGACAACGACGTACAAACGTGTGAGTTGAACGACGGAGGAGAGGCGGGGAAGATCGGGGGGGAGGGGGGAATGCGCTGATGGCGCGATACAGTTTCCCGCGGTCGAGATAACGACCACCGTGAATAACGCCACGGTTCATATCCTCATCGCGCGGTCCTGCGTTAAAGCGCAGCTAAATCATCTCCTCACTCTTGTCCGTGTTGTGTGTAATTTAATATTTTTCAAATTTTATTGTTACAACCAGAAAATCATCATTACTATCAGTATAAATCATATTTATTATCGCAATTGTTTATATTAATTAAAAAAGAAAAAGTACTGAAGTATCTAAAGTAGATTTTTCTTTTTCTGTACGAGAGTTACGTTTTTCAAATTTTACGTATTTCCAAATTTCACCAAACTTTCATGTGTTATACGTCGTATACATTTTTCTGCACGCCTCTGTCAATTGTTGCGCGCAATTCAACTTGCGAATATCGCTGAATTTTGATTGTAATGTAAATGTAACGTACCCGGCAAGAAGGAATAACAGTAACAGTGAGCAGTATTTTTTTTACATTACTCATCGGGTGCGCCGTTTCTCGTCTCATCGTTGACGATTATAGCAACGAGGAAAGATACACGCGAGAGCGATTCACGCGTTCTCAGCGACCGTGCGCTGCTGAGATAAACCATGATTTATCGTGACACGCACACACGCGAGCGTGTTTATCGCGGTTATTGTTCTCGAATAGCGCAGGCACGTGCCTGAGATACTTACCGTGTGCGTCAGTGCCCACGATACGCGCGATATTCCCCGAGACAGTATATCGAGCTTCATTCTACAATTTGCACCGCAAAAACGAATCTCCGACTGCCAGTCGTGCACCTTGCACAAGATTTGACGTAAAAAGTCAACGAAAAGTCAATATGAAACTGCTATTGCCAAATTGTTAAACATTAAAAATTTTCCGTTCAAATACCATTCTAAATCACATTTAAAATAAATGTTATTATTGGAAATAAATTAAATTTATAGGGTAAACCCGGTATATATGCCGCACCTATTAAAAACTTAATTTATCAGATATTATCTATTAAGTTTAAGTTAAATAAACTATGCCAGTAAAAACTTTCTAGTTCACTATTTACTATTATAATATTACTATAATTATATAATAATATTACTATAATTACTATTATAAAAAAAATATTAGGAATCCAAATTATCTATTTTTTATATTAAAAAAAGAAACTTCTTTAATTCCTTGCATTTTTGCCTTATAAAAATAGGGTGGGTTATACGACTATTCACGAGTGGGATAAATGACTCAAAAAATATACAAATAATAATAGTGATCTAAATAATAATAGTGAATAACACGTGAATTGGCAACGTAATTTGCATTTACTCATTAATAAATAAATAAAGAACGTATTATTACAGATTATGAATAAGTACATACATAAGTACATATATACATACATGAATGTTATGATTAATGTATTGTAAAGAGCGTATTATCATGTATTATTATTTACTTTTATATTTATAAATATAAATAATAGAACGTCTGTGCTACGGCATAAATCCCACGCGCTAAAAATGCCGTTTATCCCAAACAGATGGGATATACGAGACAATAAGCTAAACAAAGAATACAAGAGCTAAGCACTTGTATTTTGCTATACTCTATCCTTTACTAATCCTCTATACTTATATACCACGAAATAACCCCGAAGCCTTATATATTTCCTACAATAATCATTTTATGTAGATTATAACTTATAATTGCGCTACTTATTACAGTGATAAATCGATTTAACTTACAATAATTTTATAAATATTAACAGTAAAAAACTGAAATCATAATACAATACTAATATAACATAAAGGCATGTAACAAAGTGGTTGCGAGAAAATTAATTTCACTTCTATTTTTTCTGACTTCTGCGGCGTAAATTCTCGCGCGGCGTATATATTGGGTTTACCCTATTAGTTGTCATTTTTATCGCAAAATCGAGAAAAAATTTCAATATTCGTTTCACGGTTGTCGCAAAATTCATGCTATCTTTAAATGTTACGTAATACTTTCATGAATATTCTTAAATGCATTTTCCCGCTAGATAAAAAATGCTCCAAAAGATCCAAATTTTTCTTCCGTTTTCTTTTTGTTGTTATCTCTTATATTATCGAATGCTTGACGCGACAGAATTTCTCACCTTTCACTTGCTGCACGCTCGTGAGCTTTCGCTCCCAGAGATCGTCGAACGGATGGGCGGCCGAAGGCTCGAAATCCACCCTGTACTGTCTCATACCGGCGCTCGTCGTGTAACAGCATGTGCACATGCACGAATGATATCGAAGCCGTCCCTCGTCCAGATAAGGATGCGCCAAGGCGTCCACTACGGTGATCCTCTTGTCCTGTCATAACAATAATTCGTTGGAAAAGACATTAATATAATGTCCAAATATAATGTCAATCGATAAATTATAAAAGCGTCAAATTCGAGCTAAATAAAATGAATTTCAGCAATCCAGAATAAATGGAGCAGAAATTGTCCCGATCATTATCGATATGTATTTATAAATGCAACAAAATTAACAATTGAAGTTGACAATAAAACAAAATCCGAGACTGTATTAATTGTCATCGATTAAAGCGATAAATAAATTTCGCAAAGAGAAATAGATTCGTAAAAAAAAACAGTATAGGATAAATGATATGGTTACAAAACATATTTTTGTCGATAAAATAGATTAACTAAACATTATAATGTGCATTAAAGCGAAAAGTATCAAAGAGTTCTCGTTGTAATTTTAATGTATAAAAATTGTTATAAATTAAACTTAAAATTTATTTACCAAAAAGTGAAGCAAGATCGAAATAGTGTAAGATTTAATGTAAAAAAATCTATTTTCGCGCGAGGCGGACTTACGGGATCGAAGACTAGCATCTGACAGAGCAAGTGGACGGCCTCGTGCGTCGCTTGGCTGCTAAGATTGTACAGGGTCGCCAGCGACGGCGGCTTCTGCGCCCTTCTCAGCATGTGAGACTTCGCGCCCTCGCACGCATACCTCATCTCCTCGAGAGTGGGCGAGCCGAGCAACTCCGTGATTAATTCGAGCTGAGACCAAGAGAGAAGGCACATTTTTCTTTTTTCGTTGCTCAAGTTTCCAGATAGCCCCTCTATCCACAAGTGACGTAAAATACTCGGCGGTGTCCGATCGATATCTTTACTGATAACTCGCGTAACCGGTATCATGTACGTCAAGTTCAACGTGCAATGTCTAAGGCCCCCCTCTCTCTCCTGAGGAAAGGAAGAGAGGGGGCAAAGGCTTTACGTTGAAACGTTACATCGTTCCGTGAGCCACGAGAATTTTTCAGGGTCCGATGCCACTCACCTGTTGCACGGGGCTTTGGGCCTGGAAGAGGATCCGCCGGCGTAGGAGCTCGCCGAAGATGCACCCGACGCTCCACACATCCACCGCGGCGGTGTAGTGCCGCGCGCCCATCAGGATTTCCGGCGCGCGATAATACTGTGTCACCACTTCCTGGGTCATGTGGACGTTCTGGTCGGGCTCCGCCACCCGGGCCAATCCGAAATCACAGATCTGGAGAAGGGCGGGAGGGACCACTTTAATGCGCGTTCAGCCGTTCGACCGTGAATAATACAGAATAGTCTAGATAGCTAAATTTAGAATATATCGCTCCCCGTTATTTGGGACAAAGGCATCTATGCCGGACAAAGAGATCCTCGCTGTCTGTATTTCCCGATTGTGTCGAGTCCGAATCAGGGGAGAGAATGTAATATATATTCAGAATCATTAACATTTAAATTCTGAGATATCTAGATCGAGACTCACTTTTAATACGCAGTTGCTGTTCACTAGGAGGTTCCCGGGTTTGATGTCCCTGTGGAGAATTCGGGCCGAGTGAAGGTACTTGAGGCCTGAAAGCAACGGTATTCCGCAAATTACATAAACCTGTTTTAATTATAATCGCATCAAAAAACTTTCAAAGACATAAAATATCCAATTTCTTTTTATTGTCGGATAAAAAGTACACAATAGAAAGGTATCAGCGTATATCGAAAAGTTTTTAAGGATCATTGAAGAATTTAATTACAAATCTCGAGCAACAAGGAGATACCTGCGAATTCCGGATAATCTCGTCGGAAAAAGAAAATTAAATTCGATTCCCTCGCGCTAGTCAATTTGACCGATTTGACGGGAATGGCAGCAACGTCGCGGGAGCACCGGATGGAAATTAATCATGAGCACGCGGGGCTTTTTATCGATCGTGAAAATTGACACGAGATCGCCGCCGTCTCGTACGAGGCTGCGAAAATGATAGTGACGGAAGAATTTTTCTCGGCGGCGTGACAAGCTGACAAAACATCAGAAACGCCGTTGCTGTGACATGACACGTCGGTCGTGTCAACGTGAACCCAATTTTCTGCTGATGAAAATTTGCGCCGAGTGCAAAATGCAGGGCTCTCTCTCTCTCTCTCTTTCGTGATGAAAATTCGGGGCACTTCGGAACGAAGATTATATCAGGCTTAATCAAAAATCGGTTATTATTTTGTCGAAAATACCCGTCGATGAAATTCAGGCTGCGCAAATCCGTTGAATAATAACCGAGTTTGCTGCTTTTAATGGAGCAACGTGGAGCGTAAAAGTTTTTACGGATTCTTTATAGTTTAATCCGTCCATTATATGTGTATTTTATATTCAGCACTTATAGAAAAAAACATAATAAATCTGAAAGAAGTTACAAGAATATTGATTTATATAGCGTCGAGAAATTTGGGAAGTGATCGTAACTTTGTAATATCATAAGCTGATTATGATTAACTTCACAGTATTATTAAAAAGGGGACTTATACAGATTTTTTTTAATGACTTTAAAAACTTTTCAATTTTCTCATTGTAAAATTTGGTATATCTAATTTTCAAACTTATGCATCATCAGCTTGTATAGTAAACTACGTGTAATATCGATTTATTCCGTAATCGAAAATATATAACATTATTTCTATAGTTTGCATATAGATTTTGAAGATGATTATAATGATAACATGATTATGATGATGATGATGATGATGATGATAACGAGAAAGAGACAAGTCTCTTGAAGCTCGAATTAATTATTTATAGGATGCAGGAATTTAACAGCCGATAGATTACTCCGTCGAGGGAAAGGTCGACGCAAGTTTAACGATACGCCGTAACGTTGCCCCGCTATCGATTGACAAATATCGTAAAACGGGGTGATGTCGATCGGGGCGTTTCAAATCACGATCGCATTCTCGGCGCTTTATAAATACACCGAGTGACGCACGTGACGCGCTTTAATTAGTCAGTACTGATTCGATATACGAAGCGTTCGAGAAAGAGATGCGCGATCTCTCCGATTCATTTCTCGAAACCAGTTTATTCTTTATGGTGGAAAAAAGTAACTCGTAGAGAGGGGCACATTTCGCGAAGGGACCCATTTCGCGAAGGCCTGCTTTCGCTTCCCTTTGTTTCCTTGCCTTTACTTTAAGGGAGCGATTTCTCTCCCGCGCGGGAATGGCGTATGTGGCGAGGTGAGAAATAACACGGCAGGAGGTGGCGGTCGCGGTGCAGGGCCGTAACGAGATTCCTTCAGTTGTTTCCCGATCCATCCCTGTCAACGAATCGACCCTATACCGTTCGTTTACGTTGATTTGGGGAACACGTTGAAAAAAAAGGACACGGGACGTGTATTTTACGGACAACAACATATTGGTGAGTTAGTTTCGCCGAACGTTCGATTACAGCTTTAGTCTTTCCCATTCTTTCGCGACGTTCGTCGAAGTTGAAAGAAGACCATTATAGGGGAACACGGATCGTTATGATCGCAAATTATTAGAAAAACTGATTATTGTTACAGAATATCCTCGCAGATATATGTATATATATATATATATATATATATATATATATTATTTTATTGTGTAAAAATTTTACAAAATACACAAAGGGTGAAGGCGTCAGCAAGGCTGTTGCTATTAGTGCCTACCCGAAACATGTGCGTGATAAAATAAAATCAGAGAACGAAAGAGAGCGGGTTTATCGAACTTGGAGACCTCCATTTGGATTTCCAGATATATTTGCTAACTTACATAATTCGTTATACGCACGTAGTACGCGCCTAAAATTGTAGGATTATTTTCGGAATCGCGTCCAATCGCAGCACTGAATGTGCTGCAGAGTCACGCCGCGAGTGCATTTGGGTCTTCGCGGCAATAAAACTCGGTAATATTACCGAGGGGTAATCCGTCGTCTGGAGGGGTGGCTGGCGAGATCGGGGAGTTCGCTTCGTCGTAATTAAAGTCCCTCGTCCGGGTCTACTGTACGGCCGCTCTTATTATCGTATCCGTTCGCACGCGATTAACTCGCATCCCGAAAGCTAGCGTTCTCTCTCTCTTTCTCTCTCTCTCGCGTCGAGCCAGAATCTTCGCGTGCGCTTGTTTAAGCAGCGTGAAAAATTCATTTAGCCGCCAAGCTGCACCGCGGCTTAATCGAATGTTAAATTATTACAGATGAATTCGTATTTCTCTTCCCTTCTCCTTCTGGACAAGAAAAATATTCCGCGTTTAAAAGGAAAACTAGTAGACAGATAGTGAATAAATGCATGCGAATATTCATAATTCATTGATAAATTTTACAGATAACGTATATACATATTTATAAAATCAGATGTGTCCTCTGTAAATCCTCTTTCACGAAATTGAAAGCCAAGAAATTGTTGAAAACTGAGAAATTTTAGCAGATCTTAAATTTATAAAAAATAAATCTTCACATTAAAATTTTAATTTTTAAAAGTTTTATAATCTAAAAGTTTTGTAAAAGATTTAACACTTACGGATACATTTAATCCTGAATTTTTTAAATACAGAAAAAATCTTTCCGCGAATTATACAGAATTTTCTACATACCTCGTGCAATCATATTCTAAAAATTAGACAAAAAAATCGCGGTAAAAATGTCGATCTCTCTCTCTCTCTCTCTCTCTCTCTCTCTCTCTCTCTCTTTCTCATGATAGTTTTTCAGTTACATAATGTAATAAAAAAATTCTATATTTTCTATTTTATTTATTATATAAAAAAATATTATATTATAAGCAATCGAAATTAGTCAATGATATCATGTAGAATTCACGCATTCGAGTCTCTTAATTAGTTTTTAGTTAATTCGCCGAATACGCTATTATATTTTATTGAAATATAATATTATACGGCGGAACATCCTGTCAATCTGCATTTGTAGCGATATTGCGTCGATCACGCATTGTAAGTCAACATTGTCGCTGTCCACCGTCGATAAAATCCGGCGGGAGAGCCGAATAAATCCTGAATTCAGTTATACCGAGCAATTACCTAGCCGCGCGCGTGCGGAAACGCGTGCTAATTAAAGTCCATCAGCGAGCCACTTATGGATATCCCAATTATTTAATGTCCTTTATCAATGAAATTAGTCGACTCGAGGTGCACCCTTCGCAATCAACGCGTGATTTCTCACGCGCGCGTCACTTCGTCACGCTGATAACGCGACCGCGAGGCAAGAACGTTATTTTTCCCGATTGATGCGAGAGAAAAACGTGATAAAAAAAAAGTCAATTAATGCTGACCAGTTACGGGAGAATTTTTCGACGAGGAGTTACAGTTATTTTCATTTGTGACCTCGCGTGTATTTGACCGCGCGCTTCTTCTCTCTTTCTCTTTCTTCCACAGTCTCATGGAGATTGAATTAATTTAATTCGAACATCGCGCTAATTGACGAGTGAACGTGACAAAAAGTTCGAACGAAGTCGGGAAAATCAATGGAGTTTCTCTCGCGAGAAAAAGCCAGGTCGCTTTACGACCGAAAATCCCGGCACAATCCTCCCATTTCTAATTATTATTCTCTAAAATATCCCAAAAATAAACATTATTATGTTTGTATTAACGGGAGAGAGAGAGTAACTCTCGAAAGATACTCGTACCAAAGAGCATGGAAAACCGGTCGCGTAGGTTTATTCTCGTCTAAGGTGTCGGCATCTCTTTTTTTGCAACTATTCACGAATTACCGGTACGATCCGTCTGGACTGTCCGCTCATGTCATCCTCGGATGGAAGAACGTTGCCGACAGCCTTGAAGTTAGCCGATAGCCGGGACGAGACCGGGTCTCCCGAAGAGAGAGAGGCCTTGACTTTCGTACGTCGGTAATCGAGGAGTCGCTCGACCTCGCTCGTCGCGGCCAAACCGGAGAAGAAATAAAGAATCCAGCCGAGGCGCGAGAAACGCCGCGATGTCAGGTGCGATGAACCCGACAATGGCAGGCCGGCCGAAGCAAAATCCGATCCCTGACCGTTCGTCAGCAATGATCTCTTCAGCGTATCCTCGAGTACTCGAAAAGTACTTCATCGTCTCATCAATTTATTATAATTATTTTCTCGATTGTTTTAAAATATTTTATTGGATAATTGATTACCTATATTTCATCCACATTAAGTGCATATAGAGATTATTTTTACGGAGTTATATTTCGTTTAATAAATAAAATACGATGAGAAAGCTCGGGTATGACGAACATGATATTCTCTGACTTGCGTAATATAATTTCGTAATTATTTATACGAATGAAAATCTACTGCATAAATTTTTAAATATGATCGAGTGTAATTAAGGCTCCAAATATCCGCGACGAGGTTGCAAGCACTATACGCTGCACCGTCGTGCGTCCCCGCGCGAATGCGGCCGGCCGGCCGACGACGCGACGCGGCGTCGCGACGCTCCTCTCGCGGGTTAATTTTGATACCCGTGTCCCGCCGCCACGTCATCGGAATCGCGCCGCTGTAAACAAGAAGCCACGCACACCGCGAGAACTTATTTTCAGCCGAGGCCGATAACCGCGGCGCGTTACACGCGCGCAACCACCTGAGACT